TCGCTGACGCAACATTATCAACAGTTTTGCATGACAACAGCAACAACACAGTAGTTAAAAGCTTGTAAAGAATTAAATTAAAACATGGAGTTCACCACTAGTTATTGTATAGTTATTAATTCATATTATAAGCCTCAAAGAATATATGCTTTATCAAATACTTTATTTTTAATTTCTTTTGAGTTTTGTATATTAAGTGCATTTCTATTACTATACATCTTATTTCCCTCCTCTCGATCTTTACACCGAACTTTCAAACATTTCTAACAAAATTTCAAATTTTGACTTCTGGATAAAATTCAGATGTTACATTTTTATGTAATCTCTGTAGCTTGTACTCTTCACATCCTTAGAATAACTTATACTTGTGATCAGTATATAACTAAGTTACTTACCATTTCATCAGGGTGATCCTTTTTATGTTGGAGTTCTTCAAACTCCTCTAAATTTTCATCATCTGTTTCCACTCCTGACAGTCGTGCTGTAGTTCATAAAACAAAACAACTACATGATGGTTACTTATTCTGAATTAAACTTTGCAATTTGGTCTTGGGGTAAAGCCATCTCATAATGTTCCAACATGTAAATTTTATCAAGTGAGTAAACTTTGAACAAGAAACTTTGTAGTTGAGATGAACTCGTATGAACTTAACTGGGCAATAGATCTTAATCTATAAATAATGATGATAAGAAATTTCTTTGTATCAAGATTTTTAATGAGTTCTTATGTTTGATCACAGACAAACCAGTTCAAACATCATCAGTTTTTATGGTTGAATTTAGACAAACCAGCTCAAACATCATTTGTTCTCAAGCTTAACTCAGACAAACATCGTACATTCTAAAGCTTAACTCAGACAAACATCGTACATTCTCAAGCTTAACTCAGACAAACATCGTACATTCTAAAGCTTAACTCAGACAAACATCGTACATTCTAAAGCTTAACTCAGACAAACATCGTACATTCTAAAGCTTAACTCAGACAAACATCATACATTCTCAAGCTTAACTCAGACAAACCAGCTCAAACATATATATTCTCACACTTTAATTCAGAAAAACCAGCTCAGGTATCATGTGCTCTCATGCTTGAACTCACAGCACAAGCATCACATGTTCTCATGCTTAAGCTTAATACTAACCAGCTTAGGCATCACATGTTCCATGTTTGAACTCAAATAAATCAGCTCAAATATCATGTGTTGTCAAGCTTGAACTCAGATACCTAACTCTCTGCACCAATAAGAACTATTACCTCATGCACAACTGCCATGGAATTTCCTGTGCATATCACAAACTCCTATCTCTACATGTGTCTGTATGTATTGCACCAGCTTATGACATAATTATCATCATTCTGTAGCTCTCCTAACAATAGGAAGGCGATACAACCTCCATGTGTGGTAATCCACATGAGACTAGTGCATGGTCATATGCTCATTCTTGACAAGACAGAGAAAATGCACCAGAAATACGGAGGAAGGATGGGAAAATGGTGCAGAGAGATAGGTATCTATCTGAAAAACATTTTCAGATAAGGAAAATGTTAACATCAGATATGCTACCTGCCTCTTTGTACCACTAAGAGCTAGAATCTCACAGTAAAAATGAAGGGATGGGTGTAGACCAATTACAGAGATGAGCTCCTTTCTGAAAAACCAACAGATATGGAAAGCTCATGAGATATGACATTCACGAGAACAGGGGGTTGACTATTGGAGCAGAACCCAGTGAAAGACAGCATCTTCTGAAGCAGGGAATACTCTTTGCTCAATTTATTATTCTTATTTACTTCCTGTACATTACAGAGAGGTTAACAATAAAGTTTATTTGGTAAATCCAGAGCCAATGGTAACATGTTGCAAAGGAGGGCAGAATATTAACGTGTGTAGTACGGCTAGGGTGTTTGGCTGTTCCATGTTGATAAAATACTTACATGAGATAGATATTGTAACAACGGGTGGACAAAGAAGAAACTCTGACCTACATCCCAAGAAATCCAAGTCTCATCCAGTTAGACATATTCATCTGAAAGTGCTTGGGAGATATTGTAATGAGGTGTCCTGTTCTACACAATACTCCAGCCCTATATCTCAAATGAGGGGTGGGCCCAACTGGGGAAAAGGCACCACTTACAGAGGAAACTCTCCATATTGATATTCCCAGTGGCTGGAAAATGGGAATGTAAAGGTTTTCCCATGCTCTACTAGAAGAAATGGGAAGGAGAGGGCTACACATTGAAGAGAACACTGCAATGTGTGTATGGACCACTGTCATCAGGCACAATCATCTGAAATCAGTGCACTGGGTTACCATAATTAAAGACACAAAGCACAAGCCAAGTGTAAAGGCAAGGTTACACCTGATTCTGCCTGATTTATTATTTTTTGTTTGCAGAAATGGTCATGTCAATTATAAAAATATACTGCCTCAAATGTGGGTACTGAGCATGGGCAGATGGGTTTAATGCTTTCCATTCTCCTTTGCTTAATGTGGATTTGAGATAAGTATTCCCTGTAAACAACACCAGCTACTTAGTGAGTTCTGTAAGAACTAAGTATTAGAAACATAGGATGTAGTTCCTTGTGTAACATTTAATTTGATAAGTCTTGCCTCCTCCTGCTCAGTATGTATTTTTTTGTTTTAGTTGAGGAACTTGCAACTTGCACGAATGTGTACAAAAATCATGGAACACACATGGAAGTGCCAGGAAACCGAGGAAAAACATGGAAATAACTGAAAAACACAACAGGCAAAACTTACCACACTAGTCTCTCTCAAAAAGCTGGAGGAAGGTAAAAATCAGTGGTACACGAAACCTCCCACAGTTGCACGTATTTGTTTGTTTTGAATTTTGCGCAAAGCTACACGAGAGCTATCTGCGCTAGCAGTCCCTAATTTAGCAGTGTAAGACTAGAGGGAAAGCAGCTAGTCATCACCACCCGCCGCCAACTCTTGGGCTACTCTTTTACCAATGAATAGTGGGATTGACCATCATATTATAACGCCCCCACGGCTGAAAGGGCGAGCATGTTTGGTGTGACGGGGATTCGAACTCGCGACCCTCAGATTGCGAGTCGAGCGCCTTAACCACCTGGCCATGCCGGGCCAACAGATGCAAGTAATGTGAGATGAATGTATCATGTATAGTCCACATACCATACTGTAAGTTCTCCTTCAAAGGCTGGTGAAGAAAAGAGGCAAGAGGCTGTGGTATGCTGAATCTGGTGGGAGTAGACACAAATGTATGAACAGTCAGACTCACTCAAAGAAGAATATGCAAGATGGATGAGCAGGTGAACCCAACCAGTTAAAGTAGAAGGGGGAATATCCTGAGAAGAGGAGGTTTACCATAGTAAAAATAGGCAATTCCACAAAAAATTATAGTCTAAGCAAGGTAGCAATGGGCAGCCCATAAAGGCCACAGAAGATGACTGGGATCAGAGCAATCATACAGTGAGGAAATATAAGGGAGAGAGATGAGAGAAAACATCTGATCACCTTCTCTTGCAACCCAGGTTTTTGGAAGAAAGGAGCAGGCTGGAAATAACTACAACTGATTCCTATGATAGAGAGTATGGGAAGTGTCAAAGACATAAATATCTGAACAATTACAATCTCCAGCAAGAAGAAGAAAAGCATACGTTTTGAGAGACAAATGATAGAAGAAAAAGGAGGCCAAAGGTTCAGGCAATGGGATTTAAAAGCCCTAAGAGTTACATGAGAGTTTATATTGTGTAGTTTACCGAGGTAGATATTGTACCACAGTCTTCGGTGTGTGTGTGAATGGCCTATCTACAGCAGGTAGAAGAGATTAAGAAAAGCTGTACAGAATAATGAAGAATCCACTGCTGACTGGAGAAAGTATGATGTTTACATACTTTATTCTGCAAATAGATATTCCTATCTAAAAAAAATATAACTCTTCATTTTTTAATTACACAGTTATTTAAGATTACAGTTGAAATGTTACATGTATTATGGCATAAGTTCAGAATTTTAAAATAAATCTATTCATTATATGTATTTCTTCATACAAAGGTATCATTCTGTATAAATGATTTGTTACACTGTGTATTTTCCATAAATTCAAAAGGTTTCAATGTGTAAAGAAAATGATATGTCAACATCAATGACAAAGGTTTAAGCTTCTGATACATATGAAGCAGCTCAATTAAAGTTTCCCTGAGTAGAAGTTACCTCACATTTGCAAACTGAAGAAGAAAAAATAAGTATTAATCATGTATATTCTTGGAGGGGTGCCATTTTGTTTTGGCAAGGGGGAACTAAGGGTAAACTATACAGTATTAAAAATAATGAATACTTCATGCTTTATTGCACATTGTCTTAGTACTTATATCTGCAAAATTATTTCTATAGAATTAACTACATTATTGTTACTTGAATTACTTTACTCTTTACTGGTTTAACTACAAAAGTGCTGACATTTGCAACAAGTGAAAAATTATTTTCAATGTTATTTAATTTCATGATTATTGGACAATGTCAATATAGGCTCACAGTTTAAAATATGTATGATAATTACTAGCCGATAGTGTCGATGCATTAATATTTTTCTAACCACTACATATAAATTCAAAATGTTTTAACTACTAAAATTACTAAACATGTACCATCATATGTACATTGGAGAAACCAGAAGAACCCTACACACAAGGATATGAGAACATATTGACTCTCTTTATAAACAACAACATGAAAGAAGATTAGTTGTAGATCATCTTTAACTAACAGACAAGAAGTACCTGACTTGAGACCAACATTCTCCATACAAATCCTCACAAAAGCCACCAAGTACAATGACAGAAAATTCAAAAAAAGGTCTTCTCATCGAACAACTACAACCACAGATGAATAGGTACAAAGGATGGTGTCTATAATTTTAATTTATTTATTTTTATCCTGTCTTTTTCTTATTTCACTCTGTAACCTTGATAGAACTTTTGTTTACTACAAGTAGCAGTCAATTATTTCAACAATAAGCTTTACTACTTAATATGTCAAAAGCAGGTTGTACAAATGCATGTTATAGATTCAAATAGAATTAATTATTTAAACCATTTGAAGCTTTGTCCTGTCAGTTACAGTTTGTGTTTTAGTGAACGTTCCCAAAGAAGCTGTAAAGCAAAATGTTGAGTGTTTAATTAAATAAAAACATTTTGGTGTTATAAGGTCATTTATTTCTAGTATTTTTCACTTTAGTTTTAAGTGTCATTATTGGTGATCATAATCATTTGTGTCACTCACAAGAAGTTTCGATATATCACAACTACAGGTGAAAATAGGTATTAGCTAATACATATTTTATTTATTTATGAACTTAATGTAGTTTGGTAATGTTCAATATATGTGTCAGTGGTGATGTGACTGAAGATGGGGATACAATAAAAGCTTAACAGAGGTATTAATGTTCCTGTTATTTTAACTGTATAAATAATCAAGGTATTCCACAATATATAAGTATACTGTGGTAGCATTAAGGAACCCTAGTTTTTCAAGCACACCGTGTAAGTGCTTCTGCAGGTGAGTTAAAGCTGAGAAATCACATAAAGCTGCTGCATAAAGGCAAAGAATAAACATGCTTCAGTACAACAGTCCACAGTGCAAGGTCCAACCAAACTGAGTGAATGAGTATAGCAAGGAACAAAGTCTGCTAGGGGGTTCTTCTCTTTGATCAAGGCTTGCATGCCAACATATTTGCTGTTCATATTGGATGCATTGTTGTAAAACTGCCCATGGCATTCTTGAATTCTTTTATCATTCTGTTCAAGGAAATTAATGAGAACTCTAGCAAGTTCTGCTCCTGTGTCATTGCTGTAAGAATGTGGTAAATCTCTCTACAGGGCCATCATCTAGAACAGTGTTTCTCAACCTTTTTTTTGTTCATGGCTCCCTTTAGAGTTTGATTTATCTGTGACCCCTCCCTTCATAGATGCTGTTACTTAGGAAAGAAGTTACTTTATTTTCATGCTGTTGATTTATAATATATTTATAATATTATTTTTACAATATTGTATTGTTTTTAAATATTTTGTTTGTAATATGTTTATACAAGTAAAAAAATATTCTGTTTTATTCAGTGTGATTCTTGGGCCTGATAAACACTTGAAAGTTTTTGAATGTCTGATTGCAGTGAAGATCACCTCTCTTCTCAACATCAAGGCAGTTATGTATTTTTTGATGGCAAATAAGTCAGTCGACTAAAACAAGATTCAACCAGATAAGATGTGGGAAAAGTGATAAAATACTACTTTACCTTCTCCCAGAGCTGTGGAACTGATTAGCTATTGCACTACTTATCCAGAAATAATGTTTGTCACATTTGAATCTAGCTTGGGCTGTTATATCACTCTGCTACTCTTGAGAATCAGTTGAAAACATTCACAGATACCAGACAAACATTTTGATTGTTACTCGAGTATTAGTCGCATCTGGTAACTTGACTTCTGAGCTGTGGGGGATACAGGGAGAAGGGAACTTTTGATTCAATTTTAAATTTTAAATATTTTATTTGGGCAGTGAAGTTTCGGTGGCCCACCCAGAACTTACTGCGGCCCCCTAATTTTTAATAATTCATGGGTGGCCCCTTGGGGGGGGGGGGCATATGGCCCAAGTTGAGAACCACTGATCTAGAATATATCTAAAGATTATTTTCAGTTGATCTGTATGATATATATCTTGAGTGAAATAAACAGACACTGAGTAATACCTGGATGCTTTAATTTCCTGGATAATGGTGATGAGAACTTCTTTGTATAGGATTTCTATTAAATTGTCACAAACAGTTGAGGATAAGTATGAAACATGACCTTTTCCCATATTTGCACGTTTTTGAATGTGTTCATCAAGAAATGTATCATACCCAGAAAATAGCTCCAGCATTCCTATGAAATTGAATTTACAGACTGAACAAATACTTCATCACAAGTGTTCTGATGTTAGTAAAAGGCTGTTCATAGAGTCTGAGCCATTCACACTCAAATTACTGCATACAGACATTAACATGTACACACTTTCCCTCTTTGAAAGAAAATTTGATTATTAAACATAAAACAATCAACAAAGTCTTATAATATTCTACTTATGCATACTCTAATACTGTGTACAAGGAGAGTTGATGGTATGCCATTACCACAAATATTGCTTCATTTAGAATTTTAAACTGTAACACTGAATTCTGCATCACATTTTAGTCTTTACAAGAGTCAGGCTAGGGTGCATTATATAACAGTTATCTTAATTCCAGTGGCTAGGAACATGCATTTCCATTCACAAACTGAAGTCACAGAAACACTTATCACCACATATAGGGTTAACATCAGCCAAAAGAGTATGAAGGAAAAAACCAAGGAAGTTTACTTTTATATCATGAATCCACATTTAGACTCAATAACTAAAATGGTGTGACATAAAATGAGACTAATCATATTATAGTCACAGTAAAAAAAAAAGAACTCAAAACTACATGAAATAAACAGACCAAAATATTTTACTACTAATAGTTATAAACATAAGGAAAACAACAATATAATTAGTAAAAGACAATTAAAAAGGGACAAAAGTTTCATAAACAAAAGTAAAGAAATTTATGATTTATCACTAAGTATTTAGTTTGTTCTTTACCTGCTTTTGCCATAAAATATGGAGGTAGCTCTCCTAATGCTGTGCCAGCCCCCTTAAATAAGAAACAAAGACTGAAGAGGTTGATTTCTTTCAAATGGAGAATTAGAATAAGGAGCTACTTTAGTAATTTTAAAGGATAAATCATACAGTTTATCAACTTGAAAAAGAATTAATCCCAATACTGTTAGCTCTACTAACAAAATATTTCATTATTAATATCAAAAGTATAAAGATTAAAACTTACCATTTATACTTATTGAAAAGTAAATGTCAGGGAAAGTTTCAAAAATTAAGCAGAGTGCTACACTTACCCACATGAAAGCCTCCAGTCGAACTTTGCTCATTATGCTGAAGATTGTTATTACAGAATTGGTCCCTTTGTTATGATCTGGACAGATAATTCTAGTAATAAAAACAAGTGACATAGATGAATTTCCAAAGGTAATAAAAAAATTACATTAAAGATTTGATATCAAAATTACTAAAGCAGTAAGAGAAATTATCAGTGTATAAAAAACTGAAATTTCAATGTAAAAAAACCTTGCAAGACTAATCTGCACCAATACTGTTAATACAATACCACAATCCACTAACCAGAAGTCAACATTCACTAACTGTTGACTGACTCATAAATTATTTCCTTTGATTTAACATAAAACAGTTACTGAAGCCCAGTTTCTAGCATTATAAGCTTGTATCTGTGCCATGGGGGGGGGGGGGGGGGGTATTCAATGAGTTCCACTTTGCTGAAACATCAAGTGATATTATTATACAAATGTTATCTAATACTGGCTTAAAGTAAAGTAGTACTGTGACAACAGGAACAAAATTTACAAGTGATCCAAGTTAATGAGAAGTTGAAATATATGGGTGAAATGTGAGCATAATGAAGCAAAACGATTAAGTACTGTGAATATAAGAGACAACTTCTGACTATTTAAGAAGTGTTTTCATTTATAAGGCTTTGTTTTATTCTTGTTACATATTCTATAATACATGAAATGAAGTTCAGTTCATCTAATGGATATCTTTGGGGTATAAGTGTTACTCTGAATGACTACTTTGTTATTGTCCTTGTCTTGATCTATTTGCCATTTATTTATTTTCTAAGTTAATCAGTAATTTAGTTTATACTTTTAAGAAAAATAAAAAATTATTATCTTTTACATCTTTGCCATAAACTAGACCAATAGTTAGATTGCTATTATTTATTCTCATAAAAAAAAAGACCAAGTCAAGTGCAGCCCTTCTTTGTTATACAAGTTTTTCTTCAACTTAACTAATTTGCTGTTTTCAATAATACATTTATAAAGTTAATAAAAAATGTTAAAATGTTTATGTTTTGAGCCTAAAATAATACTTAAATATACAGGACACCAATGTATAATATTCATGCATTTTCTAAGGTTCTAATTTGTTGTGAATAGTCACATAACTTGTACATGTATGTATACTCACTCATCGGGATATGGAGGTTCTGGAAAGTTCAGACTCTCACACTCGTATGCTGCCAGTGTCACTGCTGCTATATGTGGCCCCTAAAAAATGTACATACTTATACATGAAATATCATATACTGCTAATGAGAAGATCAGCAGGAAGTTATCCTTTAAACTACTAAACTCTGACCTATTATTGAGTATTTTCTTCTGAAACCTGTGAAGGCATATAAGCTTTTGTCAATATTGTCTTTCAGAAGCTAAAACAGTTATATTTCCAAACTCAAAGACTTAGTGAGCTTTTCCATTTCAAATTAATTTTTTCCTTAGTCCTGGATTACCAGTTGATATTGAAAAATTAGACCAGCCATAATTGCATAATCTTTGTAAAATAAGCTACAGAAGCCATTCTTGAAACTCTGAGAGCATATACATTAGTTCATATATGATTATTTTTGTATTCATAAAATGTCTACATGTCATAATAATAATGTCCATTTTCTAACAAAAACATTCAAATGATGATGTTTTGTTTCTACAACATGAAAGATTGGTTATCATTCCCAAACTCCCAGATAAAACACTAATGTGATCACAAATTCCTTCAGGTTTTTCTGCCTGGAATCTCTGACTTTAGGCCTGTAGATCTCTATGCAACAGACTGCATCCTGTTGGAAAAGATGACTAAATATGGTAGTCAAGAGGGAGAATCTATATGGGTTACAATTAGGCATTTCAAGGGCAGAAAGTTTGTAACTGGCAATTGTTATAGGCCTCACTGTGTATAGTTTTGGTCTCCTTATCTAATAAAGGATACTGACTTATCAAAAAAGGGTTCAAAGTAAAGGTATTAAGATTATTCCAGGGATGATTTATTTGCTTTGTTTATGGGATAGCTATTCGTAATTTTGAACTGCCAACCAGGGAAAGAAGGCCAGCAGCACCCACCACCAATTAGTGAACTATCTTTTACCAATGAATAATTAGATTGACTGCCAACCAGGTAAAGAAGGCCAGCAGCACCCACCACCAACTAGTGAACTATCTTTTACCAATGAATAATTAGATTGACTGTCACATTATAATGCCACCACATCAGACAGGTTTAGCATATTTGGCACCAGGTTATGAGTCGAGGGTCCAAATCACCAGGCCATGTTAGGCCCTCCAGAGATGGAAGTGTTATCTTATGGGAATAAGATGAAAATTCTTATTATCTCTTCAGAAAAGGTGGGTAAAAAGGTGATCTTATTAAAGTTTACAATATTATCTGGAGGACTGATAGAACATAAAGTTGAAGATTTGGAAGGACAGGCCAGACTCTAGTTAAGATATTTTTACTTTTTAACACGGTTACTGGTTTATGGAATGGGTTGCCATCCACAGTGGAAGAGGCTGGCACCTTACAAGAACTTAAAAGGGGAAATCATTCATTTCCTAAAAGGTAAAGTGTGGGTTTAAGTTTATTTTTAAGGATAGGTGTGCAGGAACAGCACTGATGGACCATATGGTCCCTCGTTGTCCATATGTTATATTAATGAGAAACAAAAATTATGTCTAACATAAAATTTTACAGACAAATGTGAATAAGTTTTTATCATATAAAATCTTCTCTGCATAGATCCTTTTAAGTCATTAACAAAATTTCCCATAACTTGTGAAGCAATTGGATATGTTTGAGGGAATTTTACAATTGCTTCAGTATCTTTAGCATTTTAAAAGAATTTAGAAAAGAAGTTATAAGGATTTTCTGATTTTTTTTTAAGTGAACATATACATGAAGAAACAGTGTAAGTAAAGACGTCTGTATTATGAAATAAGGTCAAGAGCTAGGAAAGTATAGTTAGCTGGTAAAGTGGTATTGAGAATCACGAGTTAGGAATTACAAAAAATGGAGCTACAACAGAGATGTTGAGAAAAATGCTAGCCATAAGTTTGACAGTGATAAGTTACTGACACCGAGTTAGAAGTACAATAAAGAGTACAAGTGAAAAGGCAACCGGAGCACTCACCATCACAGTAACCAATTACTTGAGAGTTTTGGTTCTTGTTTTGGATTAGCCCAAGAAGTTGAACAGATTAACCAATAAAGTGTTAGAACTACTTGCGGGTAGTTACGAATGCTATTTGGAAGGTTGAAAAAATACAAAGAAAATATGGTTTAAAAACTCATGTCTGGAGCTAAAAATCAGTTCTCTCCAGGAAGAATCAAGGTTCTCCCTAGAGTCACTGAAAAGCCAGCAGCTATGAAAGTTTCTCAACTGCGAAGATTTACCAGCTCAACTACGTTGTAAGTAATGAAACTATTTCTCTCCTAATCAATTAATGTGAATTGGATGGACTGTAAAGAAACATATAAAAGCTAAGAAACTTGGTGTTATGTACGAGATATAAGTAATAGTGTTATTAACCCAAACATAGCTTATAATGAAAAGTCAATAAATGATTAATGAATAAATAAATGTATTTTTGTGGAGAAACTTAAATAAATTTGATGTATTGTTTTGAATATCAGTCTCAGTTTCTTTATTGTAACTGTAAATTACCTCGAGTTAGTGACTTATTAGCTCCACTCGCCACTGCAATCCTTCACTCAATAAATTTGGCGTGATCGGCAGTATAACTGAAACTCCAACAATTAGCCCTAAGGGCACTGCCCATCACACTTGCTTAATTAATGAAATACAATATACGAACCAAAATCTGCTATTACCTATTTTGCAAGTTTGAATTTTCCCCCGAACATCAAATTGGAAAAGCAACTAGAAACATTTACTCTTAATAATATTATTCAAGAAAACCTTCAAAAAACTAAGCATTTCATCATTGAAATTGTTCCAAAATTATCAAAGTTACATGAGGAAAAATATAGTACAAATGTAGTGTATATATATATAGGTACAGATAAACATTAGAAAACAAAAACATTATTTTTGTGGTTATAATTAAAAAAGAAGTAAGACATCATACTGAACAAAAATTAATCTTCTTGAATGTTATCAAGCTAAGAATGAATTTCAATTTACGTATTGGCAGACTTATTCACACATTTACTTAAAGTTTGATTGTGGATAAAAAAAAGTTTTAATGTGTTTCTATGAATGAATAATGTTTGTAAAATTAAAACAAAGAATGTTATATTTTAGAGTGCAAACTTTTTATATGATTTTTAGCAACATGGTCTTATGGCATAATATCATTCTGTTTAACAAACTTTTTAGATCTCTGATTCTCTAGTTTCTGAAAACAAAGATGGTGAATACTGTAAATAATACATCGCTGGCCTTTTCAAATTTTTAAAATCTAACTTTCTGCAATTTTTCTGTTATCTTTTTAAAACTTATAAGAACTCTCAACACAATCTAACTGAGTGTAAATGTTCCAATAAAAAAATTGGTTATAATAAGTGTTACATTGACCCAGAATGAATACAAATAAGTAAGAGGTCTGATCAGTCTGCAGTTTGTGATTTTTGAAACTCAGTTGGAAAACCATAGTGTAGTTGAAACTTTTGACAAGCAGCAACTTTAGCAACTAGTTGTAGTTCATCTTGGTTGGCCAAAGACATACCTAATTGTGTGTGTGTGTGTATTATATTCTCCATATGTTTAAATAGTTTTGTGTTTCATTGATCAACCCCAAGCATAAACTGTGCCTCTCATCTTTGCTTACAAATAACATATTCAAAATAGTTGGTTTTTTAATGTTATTATTAATCTTGAAATTATGAAACAAACTGGTTCTAACAAAAGCTCATGGGTGGAATATATGAAAGAAGCTTGTTCATATAGACTACTGTTTTGTAAATATATTAATACACTGTTTGTATATCACTAAAAGTGAAGTTAGAATGTTAGTTTCATAACATTAAGAAATCATACATATATTAAAAAATAGATAAGTCACAATACAAAAAAACCAATAATGTAGATGATTTTAGAAGACAGGCCTTACTTCTTCAGACAAGAATTAGGAGTTAACAAGTTACAATTTTTTAGTACAGGTTTATGTAGTGTTTTGGGCAATTTAGGAACAGTTTATGAATGGGAAATTACCTAATTTGTATTTATTTATTTTCAATATTATTAAATTTACCAGATATAACAGAAATGTGTGCAATCCAGTTCCTAATCCAACTGAAGACAAGACTCCTAATCCTACCCAGTAGGCACACCATAGCAGCTTCTTCTCCAGAGCTTCAACATACTATTAACAACAACAAAAAAAAAAGGTTAAGACAGCTAATACAGTTAAAGAAGATTCTTGTGTGCAATAATTAAACAGTTAATATTTAGAGAAGATCAATGTGTGTAACACCTAGACAGTTAATATAGTCAGAAAAGATCCTTGTGTGCAACACCTAAACAGTTAACACAGTTACAGAATATCCATGTACACAATATGTAGACAGTTAACATGGTTAGAAAAAATCCATGTGTGTAACACCTAAACAGTTAATATAGTCAGAGAAGATCCATGTGTGTGACACCTAGATAGTTAATATAGTCAGAGAAGGTCCTTGTGTGCAACACCTAGACATTTAACATGATTACAGAATACCCATGTACACAACATGTAGACAGTTAACATGGTTAGAGAAGATCCATGTGTGTGACACCTAGACAGTTAATATAGTTATAGAAGATCCATGTGTGTGACACCTAGACATTTAATATAGTTAGAGAAGATCCTTGTGTGCAACACCTAGACAGTTAACATGATTAGAGAATATCTATGTACACAATATGTAGACAGTTAACATGGTTAGAAAAGATCCATGTGTGTAACACTAGACAGTTAATATAGTCAGAGAAGATCCTTGTGTGTCACACCTAGACATTTAACACAGTTACAGAATATCCACGTGTGCAATACCTTCTTGAACTTACTACCAGTATCAAATTTCAAGTGATTTAAGAAATACAGGATATATCTCTCGGTCTTAATAAAACATAAAAACTGATAATTTGTTTTTCATAAAACAATGAGAAAATATTAAAACCATACATAAAAGGGACTTAAAGATGCAATTAACCTGGAAAAATGTGTTACAAGTTTTGGCTTTTTTGTGTATGTTTTATCTGAAATGAAATGCATCATTCTGTAATTTCTATGATTCATATTTGACAAAATTTTTATTTGTGGTAAATTTTGCACCAGGGATGTATAAAACTTTATTTGCCCAGTTTTTAAATTTGAAATTACAAGTAATTTAAGCTTTGGGTAAAATTCCATGCAACTGTTGTTATATGATTAGGGCATAAGTCAGAAGACATACTTAGCTACAAATGCTTTGTTTCACCAAATCAAATCTAATTTTCATACATAAAGAATTAAAGTTCTAAGGCAACACATGTTTTTAAGTTTTCTAATGTAAAATTATCTATATTTGTATTTTTAATTAAGATTTGGCATTTTTTTTAATGATTTCTGGCATTTTTATTCTTTTTTTTTGTTTTCATCAAAACCTTTAATTGAATAACTTACTTTCTGGTGTGGTCCTTTCAAATGGTATGATAAAACTCCAAACATTATGACTAGAAGAACTGTAAAGACTATTCTTTTATGTAACAATAATCTGAAAAAAAAAATCAAACTTTACATACTGCAAAATACAACAGTGTCAAAAATCGATTTTTTTATTAAAACAATTTTGTGGAACATGGTAAATAAAAGTGATATCCAAAACAGCAAAACTTTAAAAGCAGTAAATGATTCATCTTAATTATGAATTTTTTGTGTAATCTCATATTTAAGGCTTTTAACCAAATAATATTGTATCTAACATCAACAAAGGCTAAACATTTTAAAAAATTAATGTAAACTTATTTCAACCTTGAAAGTCCTATTCATTCTAACATACTTACTTCAGTGCATAGTTTTGAAGGGAAATAAATAATTCTGAAATAAAATATTGAAGAGTTACTATAGGTCTCCTCCATAAAACAATACTTTCTCTCTCCTCTTTCAGATGGGATGAACACCTTTTTGCTTGCGACTGACCAGAGATACATGGAGTCATGTCTCCATTCTTGGATGCTTCACCTAATATTCTTTGCTTGACAGCTTCCATTCTGTCTGCCTTTTTAAAATGTGTTTTTATACTTTTTTATCTGAAACATTAGAAAATCATATAAACACTACTAATGTTATACAATATCATATACTTGCACAACCTTCTACAGTATTACTAGTGATAGGAAAATTATTACTTGCATAATTTAAACATACACATTTAAAAGGTAAAACTTAAAGTTTACACCATTCTTTGCCAAACTCAAAAAATATAATATAGTAATCTTAGGCTTAACAAGATATAATAGATAATACAAGTCGTATCTTTAGTTCTTTACCTATGAAAAGTTTATAGATCCTAGATGAGAATGGCTTCCTTTATCCTTAACTGCTCAGTACTCTTCCCAAAAAGTTCTAAAACCTTCTTTAAAATTCCACTACATTGAAAGATGTAAATAATTCCTTGTTTAACTTTAACTTTTGGGGTATAACGATGAGACTTCACTCCAAAATTAACATTTTCCCCATAATAATATATAACAATAACAGCTAGATGATGGTCAAAATGCACTTATACAGATATAAATCTGGCAAAATTAAATCTGTTATTTTTGTTTACTCCTTATTTAACTTCAGATATTAAAGTTTTCGTTTACAATTTGATTTTTGTGTATAACTAATAGTAATAAGAACTTCTCTCACCAAGTGATCTTGATTCCATTCAAATTTCATATTACAAGATCCTTTATAAACACTCACTACACTTTCGAATAAAATATGTACATATATAAATATATATAGTATAATTACAACAGAGTAATACTAGTAAATATTTAAGATGCTAATAATAGTAATAGTAATAGCCGCTATTCCTATGCAAATGTTAAATAGTAAAGTATTAAACTATAAAGCAACGAATGGTTTAACAAAATAAGTTATAATACAATTTATATAATTATCCATTTTTTAAAAATACTATTTTACTTTTAGTTTTTACACATCAAAAAAAATATAACGATTAAACTTAAAAATAATAAAATAAAAGTTTAGCTAAATTAACTTACCACAACTTCTTCTGAAAATTATCTTATTGGAGCCTATATTTATGAGTCACGATTATAATAATGTTTTTCTATAATTTATATTTAAAATAATTTCATCATTATAAAACACTCACAAGACACACGTGTATCTTACCCTACTTCTACTGAACCACACAGTCTGGAGACTGGATTGAGCAGACGTGGTGATAAACGCAACAGTAATTTTACTTGGCTACCGCTAGAGGTGTCTCGAATTATTTTCAAATGTAACACTATTCTCTAAACTCTTTTTATATTCTAGACTATCTTTCAAAGATAAAGTAAACATGAAACAATTTTGGTGTCTCAAGGGAAACAAGTCTTCAACAAACCACTGAGGAATTCGCACGACTATTCACGTTAGTATACTTCTTTGGCCTACAATCAGCGTGCACCTATTCAATTGTATATAATACCATCTTCATCACACTTGGGTCTTTTCATTAAATCTGGAACTTTTCCAGTGTTAGCATTACTGCCTCATTATCTTAGGTACATCACACTTCCTCGTGAGATCTTGTTATGATTTTATATGTACAATGCAACCAATGAAAAGCTTTCCGGAAATGTTAAAGTTCATGTTACACGTTGTCAAACAAACTGCATTTGTCTCGAAATATATATTAGTTTTAATAAATATGAAGCCAAATCTATCATTCACGCTTTTTATTATTATTACTTTTATTTCAAATAAGTACGAATCAGCAATTTTTTCGGAACACCTCAGTTACATGTTATATGGCAACAAAGGACTGAATGCTTTTGAAAAAAATCGTTACTGTAAACTTTGAAAAATAAAATCTGTAACTTCCTTATGTTGGTAAAACAGAATTTCTGAAGTCGAGTTCTCCTGTTGCTAGAAAAGTATTAATATTTTACTCATGTATTTCAAAATATAAATAAGTGATATAACTACGTTCAAAACAAGTATTTGAGTGTGTAAGTGGAATCCTTAGGCAAACTGAAACCGCAAGTCCGAAAAATAGGAGGTTTTAAAAAACGTAAACAGAGTTCAAATGAGTTAAGTTAAATCCGTTCCCCCTCACAGTAGCTCAGCGGTAAGTCTAAAAGCTTATAACGCTAAAAACCTGGCTTCGATACCCATGGTGGCCATCGCATAGATGGACCATTATTTAGCTTTACGCTTAACAACAAACAATAAATTCGACCAAAGGAAAACAAACTGACGCTGAAAACGCAGAAACACGTTATTCACAAACAGGGGCGGAGTGGGTACCCGTTAACGACTTGGGAAAATAAAA